CTGAAATGATGTCGACATATTGGCTGGTATTGTTAAAACGTTGGTAAATGGAAAAAAGGGAGTGTATAAATGTTAATTATTCAATTCTCTTCTCTATTCAGTAGATCGAACGGGTAGGCAACCTGACAGGTTTATAACCTGTGACACCCCATCGATAAACGATGACGACAATTGGTTTGAAAAAAATTTCTGTAATGGATATATTTTAATTTTTAACATAACATTTTACGTGGAATAAATGATATCAATATAATGGATAATGCATATAGAAAATCTGGAAATTTAAAAAAAAAATCATTTCACTCCAAGCAAGGCAATAAAGCCACTAAGACGTAAATGGTTGCTGAGCATGAAAAAAAAGAAGAAAAACATTGAGAGGTCTATAAATGAACAGGAGTTAAGAAGACAGAAAATGACGATTGACATTGAATTTAAATTTTTGAAGATCAATGTTAACTAGAAAGCAATAGACCGAAAGAGATTTTCACAAGCGTGAGAAGAAAATATTAGCATAGAACTTACGGTTACATTTAGCCATTTTAGCTGTAAAATAATGAGACCTAGCTGCCATTCTAGTACTGCGCTTAAATTCGCGAAGTCGAGGTACCATAGAGGAGAGCTCATCAGAACAATTACAATGAAAATATTTATAGAAAAGCCATAGGGAAAGTGACTGAATTTGAGATGCCAGGTCAAGACCAGTAACGTTGCAGATTCGTATATGGATTTTATGAAGAACCTCTAAATATATAGCAGTGGCCCCAAAGAAGATGTGGCAGCAATATTCAAAGCAATGACGAATGGTAGACTTATAAATATTTATGGTAGACTCTGACGAGAAAAACTGTCTAGCACAACACAATGAACTAACTTTCCTAGCAGCAGACGTAGTAGTTGATTCAATATAATCTGTACACTTCATGTCAGCGGACAACGTTAACCCGAGAAGGTTTTCAAGAGAAAAGAAACTACGAGGGAACTCTTAATAACATTCAGAAAGAAAGAGAGGGAACATAATGAGGAAAGGTGACTTGGAGAATTTAACACTCACATGATACATGGAAGACAGAAGAAAACAGTGCGCAATCTATTTAATCAAATTAGCACAAAGTGAGCCAGAAATACATGAATTTGCCTAAATAGAAAGGGCTATAACATATAACGGAAAAGTTGGCACCGAAATCCGAAAACGTATTGGAAAAGAAAGCTGCCTTTCAAAAACCAAGTAAAGTATTGAGACTTAAGAAAGTTTCTTTTAAACAACGAAATGAATGCTGAACTGGTGTGTAATATCACTCCGCCTATATGGTAGTGAAGGCTAGACAATGTCTTCACAGATGAAGAGGAGACTTGAGATTTGTGATTCTATAAAAGGATGCTGGGCAATACTATGGACGGAACATATGAGGCAGTTTTAATAAAAATTGAAGCAAAATGGCATTTATATTTAGAACCAGAAAGACACAATTCAAATTTCTGATTTTGAAGATTTTTATTTATTTATTTTTTGAGTGCAGACGTAGCACAGGAGCATACCCCGTGACAAAGTGGAATATTAATTGGCCAATTATTTAATAGGGTTTTTATTAGGGATTATTTAGTAATATATGAAAGCAAATAGTTTAAAAAACAAATGTTGACATTTCCATCACAAGAGAGTTTTTTTTATAATCAGTTCACCCCAAGCAAGGCAATAAAGCCACTAACACGCACTGGGGTTTACTGAGTCTCAAAGAATATATATATATAAATACTATTAAGGATTGATAAGAATAAAAGAACAGGGATTAAGAAGACAAGATGATAACGATTGACATTGCATTTAAACTTTTGAAGATAAAATTTGACTGAAAAGCAAGTAGCCGGAAGAAAGTTCCCCAGTGTTGCGGGTGTGCTGTACGAGTGGAAAACATGTGTGTCTTGGTATATTTATCCCACAACAAAAATAGCGGACTCAGAATGTGAGTCCGGGTAAGAAAACATGAAAGTAACAATAAAACTATATATATATATATATATATATATATATATATATATATATATATATATAAAAACAAATGATAAGTATGTATTAACAATAAAAGGAGATACATAGACAATAGAATATTGTTATGTGTTACAAAACAATGAACATAAACAAAGAAAACATTTAAACTAGTGGATTATTTGTGCGTGTGTATTTTGCTGTAGAAAAAGTCCTAGGGAAAATGAAGTGAAATGTGCATACGTGTGTATGCATATGTGTGCATATGTGTGCTTATGTGTGTGTGTGCATATATGTTCCCCAGTGAAGAAAGCGTTTTCCACATTTGACCTATATTATACCGTCGCTGAGTGAAATAGGAAAAGAGAATGACACAGAATGTCACTGCCTATTTATAGATTTAAGGAGCATCCTCTAGTGGCAGTGTTTTTAGGTAAGTAAGTGGGGTAACACCACAAATGATTGGACTAGAATCAAGAGGAATGGAAAAGGATAAAAACTTACTCAGAGAAACAAAAATAGACATATATATGAACAAACAATAATGTATGTATTAACAAAATAAATGTAAACATAGATAATAGAATACTGTTGCGTTTTACAAAACAATGAAAATCAATGGAGAAAACATTTAAACTAGTGAACTATTTGATTGCGTTGAAGTCGTGTAGATGTAAGCCCTAAAGGAAGGCGTTACGTGGAAGAAAAGGGAAGAGAAAGATGCTAGCGCGCGTGTACGCTTTTTTCCGCGTTCGACTTGCACCGTGGGTGAAACAGGAGAAAGGGAGTGGCAGGGTTTGTCGTTCCCTATTTATAGGCTTAGAGAGAGTCCACTAACAACGTTTTTATTTTCGGTAAGTAAGACGGTTGACTCCACAACAATAAAAAGAGTGATAGAAGAAACTGTTAGCATAGAACTTACGGTTGCATCTATTCATTTCAACTGTAAAATGTTGATTGAGAAATCATAAGATTGAAGCTAATTTCAAGACAAGTCTCCCTAACCAACAGAACATGAATGTTGAGTTTGAAAGCCATTATGTTGATAAAATTCGTATCAGTTTTTCTGATTCGACGCATTTTATTATTCTACTAGCAGTAGAGCCCGGCGTTGCCCGGGGATGTAACAGTAAGAGATATATCAAGTATCGACCATCATAAAGAATGAAAAATAAAATTGACAAAGATTATTGTTTAAGGTTGACGGACACGCATGTCTTAATTATTATTATTATTATTTTTTTTTACGAATTGGTCAAACCCAAACTCAAACAAAAACATTGTTTTCAATCGTTATGAGTCTATTGATTGAATAGAATTTTATTATAAACAATTGTCTTGTAAATGGAATTTTTAAAGCATTCTGAATGTAAAAATAAAGAAAAAAGTGTGCAAGAAAATAAGAAACACTACCTGCCAAAAAAAAAGTGAAGTTTTGTTGAAATCGGTTGAAAAAATGTAGGAAATCCGATCCAATATATAAACGTACACACACACACACACACACACACACACACACACACACACACACACACACACAAAATCTGGGTTTTATAATAAGTATGATTTAAGTTTTTTCCTTTAATATATGCACAGAATTATTTGCCTTTATTATTATTATTATTATTATTTCCTTTGATTTTTCTCATTTCTTCCCCGACTAGAGACCTAACGTCAGAAATGGCATCATGGCATTTTCTACTGAACAATTTAAAAAACACACATATATTTTACATAGATAAAGCCCTTCGTAAAGTGTGGGCTGTACTCGTCAGAACAATTTTTTGTATTTGCTGCCAAGAATCCCTTCAATGAGTCTATTGGAATCTTTTCCAATCAATCCAAGGTTTCCAACTACAATTGGAATTGTTGATGTTCTCATGTGCCACATTTTTGAGATTTCGATTTCAAGGTCCTTGTATTTTGATAGCTTTTTGAATATCTTCAAAGATACATTGCAGTCTGCAGGGACTGCCATATCAATAAGGAGGCATTTTTATTTGTTTGTGTTCTTTAATAACAATGTCTGGGCGGTTGGCTTTGATTGTTCTGTCTCTGTGTATTGTGTAGTCCCATAAAATTGTTACAGGTCCTCTCCCCGTAACTGAGTCTAAGTGGTGTTCATACCAATTTCTTGCAGTTTCCTTTTCGTAGAAGTTGCAGATTTTCCAATGCACATACTGGCCCACTCTGCCAATACCGTGCAACCTAATACAAGATGGTCAATTGTTTCTGGATATTTATCAAGGAATCTGCATTTTAGGCTAACGCAGTATTTTAGTATGTGTGCTTGATAATTATTATTAAGTGATTATTATTATTATTATTATTATTATTATTATGTGGGACACTCAATGAAGATCAAATTCAACCTCCAAAAAGATGTATTTTTGAGATTAACTTAACCTCTAAACTATAATATGAACTCAATACATTAACCTCAAACATTTTGGTGTTTCATTTTATGCATAACCATTGAGCTTGGTTCTCTTGACTTCAATATTCTCTGCTGAAGTCGGTGGGGACGATATCTCATGGAATACAGTATTTGCTTTAGGTGCATCAGTGTATTTTTTTCAACAAATCTTAAATTAACTTAGAGTATTCATGCCGTTAGTTTATCCTCTTGACAATTATTTCTTTAACTTAGTAGAAGTTAAAAGAAAATGGTAAGTTAAAAGAAAAGTCAGCATGGCAACAAATGGCTTCGATATTGCCAGTGGGATTACTGAAAAATATCAAACTTAAAGGAAAAACGAAAACCTTTCAGGGCAAGACACGGAAAAATAAAAAATAAAAAGAATAGGCAAGTTGCACTTCCTTCCTCAAAATGCATTGAGAAATTAACTTACTACTCACAGATCCATTAATAGTTTCTATCTCATAGTAGAAAATAACGTTACCGAAAAAATATAAATTTAATCTGTTAGCTTGGATTTAAAAGCTTCAAGAAAGATTTTTCATTTTTAAAAATCCATTCTAAACTTTAGGTATCGCTTTTCTTTGGATGTACCTA